TGGTTGTCCAGTCTCGAGTTGGCATATTTCCTTGAGAGCAGGTGTACACCTCGTTCATGGCCGCCTTCACGACGTTGCGGACCATGAACCGGGTGAACCATAGCTTCTCGAACTCTTTCCACGTGATGTGCGTGTGGAGTTCGGCGATGGTGCATTTCTTTGTAGCCGCCAGATGATTCATCCATGCCTGCGCTCCTCCAATCAGTTGTAAGTACAGTGCCTTCATCATGTCGTCGGTCGGWACTGTGCGGCATGATGCTTCCGTGAGGAAACGTTGCCACCATGTCAAGGCGTCCGACTTGTTGTAGTCGTCGAACTTGCTGATGTCGAAGTGCGGCATCTTGTAGGTCTTTGTAGCGGCGTCCGGTCTCGTCTGCAGCTTGGTGATGTCCGTCTTGATGGCGGSCACCGTGCTACTGATCGTGTCCGGCCCATTGAAAACACCTATGTCGCCGATGATGGTGACGACGTGATCGATGCGCTCATTGAGTTGCTTCGTCGCGTCTGTCGTGCAGCCTGGCGCTGCTGAGGCATTAGCCTCAATGCTGTTGATGCTTGCGAGAGCGGAGTTCAACAGCTGATGCTGTTGCTGCTGCTGCGTTGCTTCGGCGCGGATGGCAGTTGTTAAAACAACAATGTCTTGCTGGTACTTTTGTCGCTGCTGTCGTTCCGTGCGCAGATGTGCCTGCAGCAGTGTGTTATTCCACATGATGCCTCTCATCATGCCCAGCATCAAGTTAGCCAGGTGAGTCCTCTCTGCCTCCGCCGGTGTCGGATCTGCCTGCGCGTCCGAAGGCACAAAGATCATGCCTTGGAGGAACGTTGTCCACTGACTTTCACTATGAATCAGGGACTCCGTACTGGCGGGATTCCGTTTGTCTCGTGCCGCTGCGTCAGCCTCAGCAGTCTGCTGAGCTTGGGCTGCCGCCTCATTGGCCAGCCGCTGACGTTCTGCCTCTGCTGCCTCCTGCTGAGCCTTGGCGGCAGCTACGGCATCTGTAAATACCTGTAGCCGCCCAAAATAGTCAGCCAACGGCTCACTGGCCCTTCGGACCGGGCATGCGGGAAGAACTCCGGTGGTGTCCGGTACCGTCAATGTTGTACTCGATGCCGCTGGAGTCGTCCGCCTGCTGAGTCTCTGTTGCTGAGCCTTGGTTCGTGGACGTACCGTAGGTCGAGCACGAACTGCGAGCCTGGCACTGCGCCGTGGCAGTGCCCCGGTATCCTGTTCCATCGACATCAGTGTGGACTGATGCGGTACTTGAGAGGTCCCGGTGGTCACAGAATACGGGGAGGGTAGGGAGAGTGGGAACAGGGGTAGAACAATCAAACAATACGCATACAGTCCCCTGTCCCACTGATGGACTGTAGACACCTAATCAAACAGAAAAATAAATTTCCGTAAACCATTCAAAAATTCGTAATAAGGAATTAATAACGATTCAATCAATACAATTAATTAATGATAAATAACGAAATACTCCTAATGATGATCAATAAAACAATGTTTGCAATAAAGATAACCCATAAACGAATTTGACAGGTATTATGATTAGGTCTCTTTGAGATCACTTTGAGTCCGGGAGTTCACCGTTAATGAGTGAACTACCCGAAAGTTGCAGTTTGAGGGCCACATACGGCTTAGTGTGCCAAAAAAAAATTTCGGAAAATTTCAGAAGAAAAAACGCTCGAATTTTCAAAAACGTGAATTTTCAGGAATTTCCACCGTCAAAATCCGATTTTTAAACGGCTAAACCTATTTTCGGAATTTCTCAAACAAGGGGAACGGAAAAAAAAATTCGCGAAAATTTCGGTCCCAACCCTAATTTTCCGCGTTTCCGCGAAATTTCCGGATTTACGGTCCCAAAACGTTCGAATTTCTCAAAGTTGATCTGAAACCCAAAGATTTTCGTAACCCTAATTTCCAATACTGAAAGACAACGGAAATTCAAAAGAAAACGAAATATAGGATTTACAACAAAAATGCCGAAAAACGGAATGCTGAATGGAAATCAGAAACGCCGAATTTGAACATGATACTGATTCAACCCTAATTCGTGTAAAATCAGAAATCCAAAACTTAATCGATTATCGGATTAGTATCACTCAATCGGAACTCAAATAGACAGCATACCGTAAGAAAACAGAAATCCGAATTATAAGTCCGAATACCGAATTGAACGGAAATGCCGAACTAAATAAAATACCCAAAAAAAAAAAAAAATTGCAACTTTGAACTGAATAGTAGTACAGCGCTGATTTGGAAGATTGAGAAGGCAATCTAATTCCTAACCAGACTTACCTTTGTGAGCAGATCCGTTATATGGTCTGCTCCGACACCAAAACTGTTACATACTACATTGAGTATGGGCAGAACCAAGGATCAACCAATGTAGGATGAGCATATATGCAACGAAAGTCTGATGAACGGACTGACTCACATAGACTGACTCACATAGCATCACTCCACACACATACAATCGTGAGGTGGTGGGGTCTGAGCCATACATA